TCGCCATTGGCTGATATATGGGGAGCCAGACCCATTATTAGCCAATTGTGACTATGACGTGTATTTGAGTGGCCAGGGCTGTGGCCTTGGTCCTAAAATAAAGTCAGAGTTGATTTTTCCTTAAACCTAAGACTCAGTCGTCCTATTGCGAGCTTCCTCAACACTATAGTGTAAGCAAGTAACGGAGTAAATACCTGGCCCGTTACATAAATGACCAAATCAGGTATTTTCCAGGTATAAAACCTGGGATACTCATGTGTGCACGACTTAGGCTAAAGTGGAAATGATCGTAGGCAGTCGACGTCGGCAACCAATCGTTTTCTTCACCGTTTACCCAGGTATTTTACAGGTTTTAAAACCTGGGCAAATCATGTGGGCGCTACTTAGAAAAATTCTAGAGTGATGGCCGCTGCGGTGTGTCGGCGTTCACGCTCATGGTGGCGTACCACGAATGTACCATTATCGACTTCTGCCACATACAGTCATTGTCCAGGTTTTGCCCAAGAATTGACCATGTATTAAAATCGTTAGTGTCTACATGCATGTTGCACTGACGGATATGCACGAATAACTAGCGCGGCCTCAACTTCATGACTGCGTGCAGCATCTCCCACCTCAGCTTCGTAATACCAGCTGGGGACACATCGCTGGGGGATTCGCTGCTCACGCAAGTCCAGAAAAACCGGCACACAAACACACCGCAACTGTCACTGTCCGTTTGCACCGGCTCGGTTACTTCCAAAGCTTTGTAGGAATCGTCACGTAGAGGCCCAGTACGGATTTCTTCAGCCATCTTCTCCAACCGTTTCTTGTTTCTCTTACCGCCCATGCTGTCGTACATCTTGACAACCTTGGTGTCTCGGTCAACCACGAGGCATCCCCAATGCGTGCCACCAAAATTGATAGGAAGAAGCACGAATTGGTGCGAGGCAACACTTTCACCAACTTTGTCGAGCGTGCTTGTAGAGATACGACTTTTGGTGGCCTTTGGTTGGGCTCCATTCTTGGCATCTTTGGCTTTTTGGGGGGGCGGAATGACGACTGTACAATTGTTCTTGTACCGTGCGAGACAAACCGCAAAAGCACGCATGGCATTATCGTTTAGCCAAGCGGAATCTCGAAAGCAAAAGAGATTGTTGTACGTCAGGTCGAATCCGAACCCAACCAGCGGTGTATACGGCCAACACTCCAGTATCTTTCCCATTATAATACCCGCTGAAGCGGAGTCACTGACCGCGGGTTTAACAGTACTATTCAACCAGGTACAGCAAAGAACAGCATTGCGACAAGTATCTTGTAGCCCCCACAAGGATTTCATAGCTTCCAGTTGCTCTCTGGTGAGCTGACCAGCTTTTTCAATTGACACCACGTAACTCTCAATGCTGCCCATTCGTTCACCGTCCCTGTCCAACTCAATTTCTTCATCTAGCGCCAATCCGCCCCTCAGCTTATCCAACGCATCATCAACAAGCGATTCGACTAGCCTGAATCGCACTCGATCTGGCACGTAATCTCCGTCGACGCGCCACTGAATTGACCTTCCCTCACCATTCTTGTTGAGTGGAAAGGTAGTAAGGAAAGACCCAACTTCGCGAACTCCAGGCATGATCATCCATAGAGTAGACACCACATCGCAGACGTCGTTATCTCTTAAAAGAGCGCGTAGTTTCATCCCGTTATTGTACTCTTTTAGTGCTAACGCCGCCTGAGTCCGCCGGAACCTGGCGAATACCCGGATAAGACCTGTAAATGTCTTCGGAGACACGATGATTATGGGCGTACACTTCACGCTTCATCACAACGCCCCATTGACCGTCACTACGCTTGGTAGCTTGAGCCAGCATCTGAAACGGACAATCGGTAGTACTCAGCTTGTGTGACGTCCGCTTTCCCGTTGATCTGTCACGTTCGGACCACCCATGCGTACAGATAAACTTGCGCTGATAAGGTTCCATCTCTGCAGGGACGAGAGGCGACTCTGAGTCAGGAAGCCCTTGGTACCTCACTTGGCGCCGAAGATCAGCATTCCTGCGGGCTACATATCAGGTTGGCTACGAAACTAATTGGTTCAGTACTATTGACTGTTTTCTGAAGATTCGCCTCCAGAAGAAGCCCCAGCAGCCAGACGTGACGCAGTTATGCGGCGGCGCCTTCTTTCTCTTGCTCGCGTATTCGATGCGATTCTAGATTGATGCCTCTCCCTTCCGATTGCATACATTCGCCTCAAATAGTCGGTGTAGCTCGTGCCGTCATCTGCATCAGAGCGACGCAAGCTCGGAGGTACATAACATAGTTTTGCTCTTGCCATCTGAGCTTGTCGGAGCATAATGCACCAAAGATTGCAGAATCGGCCAAAGTAATTCTCCACTATCACACGATCGGAAGAGATGTCGACATTCTCGGCTTCTTGTTGTGGTGTTAGTGGTGCTGAAGGGCGGCGACACGTCGGGATGATGACCCTCATGGTCTCTGCTAGGCCCTGATATCCCTTATCTGCCAAAAATTGCCTAAGATCCAGGAAACTGTTCACGGAGAGGATCGTTATCCGGCATGCTTTCATCATCAGAAGTCTTCGCCACAGCAGCAGCCACTGGAACAGTAGAAGATGAGATAGAGGCAGACGAGTTGGCGCGATGCATGGGACTTGTTCAGTGTGTGGTTAATTCCTCAATGAAAGTAGTGTGTACTTGAGAAGCTGTGCATATAGACAAGAGCTTAGTCCGCACGACGAAGCTGTGTATGCTACGTTTGCACAAATAAATGAACAGATACCGCTCTTAGAATTGGACCTTGAGATCACTCCCATGAGACCAGCTTTAGAAATTATATCTATACTGCTATTGTAACGGGCCAGATATTTACTCCGTTACTTGCTTACACTATAGCGTTGAGGAAGCTCGCAATAGGACGACTGAGTCTTAGGTTTAAGGAAAAATCAACTCTGACTTTATTTTAGGACCAAGGCCACAGCCCTGGCCACTCAAATACACGTCATAGTCCAATTGGCTAATAATGGGTCTGGCTCCCCATATATCAGCCAATGGCATGACAGCATTTCAGCACACGCTAGTCGTGTGCTGATGCACCTACTTTTGTAAAGAAATCTACCTACTTATGTAAAGGGCGGGCCCACGTATCTTACCTCCCCTCTCTAGGTACACTTTCCCACGAGAACCCGTGGGTGAAAAACACATCTACTAGTTGGAGGAGTGCATTGCGACCTAGTTCAAAGAGCGAGTGAAAGCATGACTCAGAACCTCTCCTGCGAACCCAA